ACTTCTACAGATGGAATCATACACTTTGTGACCTTTTGTGTCTGGCTTCTTTCACTCAGCATCATGTTTTTAAGACTCATCCAAATTGTGGTCTGTATCAGTGCTTTATTCCTTTTTATGGGCCAAATAATATTCCATGATGTGGATGTGTAGACATTTACTCATTAATCTGTTCATGGGCATTGGGGATATTTGCACTCGGTGGCTATTATGAATAGTGCTGCTGTGAACATGTACACACACCAGTTTTTATGTGAATGTTCATTTTCAGTTTTCTTGGGGAAGATTCTAGGAATGAAATTATGAGTCACATGGTAACTGCCAGACCTTCTTAAGGTTTTAACCTGGACCAAGCAGAGTATGGTGTGTGCTGCATTCTCTTGGCTAAAGGGAGTCACATGCCCAGTCCAGAGTTGAGGGGGTCTGATAAAAGGACCTGCTTATCTAGAGTGGTTTCATCAGGGTCTTCATGTAAAGTCCTTACCATGGACCTTAAGGCAGTATAGGTGCTCAGTAAATGTAATTCCCTGTTGTTACTCCTTTTCACTAAAAATAATGATACCAAACTGGGGCAGTAAGGCAAAGATAAACTGTGGGACTTCAATCTTCATCCATTAGTCGCCAGCCTGAGAGCAAATCCATCACCAGTGTCTCGGGGATTATGGGCTCACTGCAGATTAGCCAGTGACAATGATCGGTCAGGCAGTGAGAACTGTAAAGGCTTCTGAAGATGGGAACTATCCCAGCACTTAACAGGATGGCTAGAAGGCAGTACATGTTCCTTCTAGAAAATAGGATACTCCAGGGAAAAGTGTAAGAGAAAAATTTGTCCTTCTACTTATCAGAGAGAACAACTGTAATATTTTGGTTTCCTTTCTCCTAGTATTCTTTCTGTGTATCACATGCATAAGTGTGTGTGTGTGTATAATTTTAATAAAACTAAAATTAAGATCATAATGTATGTAGTTAATATACTTCATTTGATCATTTTTTAAATTAAATTTGGAGAATCTCATCCATCTTTATGCTATTCAGTACTGGTTTTAATGGCTGATTCTCACAAATACATGTGTGCATATGTGTGTGTGTGTTTCCTTTTATTTACTTTTTGAGATTTACTTTATTTTTTCTTTTTTGTGGAGGTGAGGGTGGAATCCAGGGCTCAGGCATGCTAGACAAGCACTTTTCTGCTGAGCTCTGCCCAACCTTGGGTTCACTTTACAGCGTTGTACGGCTGGCCAATCTACATGTACATGCCTCAGGAGACCACGGCCCAGGTTGAGGTCTAGAGTGTTGCAGCACCCAGAAGACTCCCTGTGGCCTCTTCCAGTTTCCAGCCCATAACTTTCCCTTGATGTTGAATTGACCCTCAGTCCGTTTATACTCCCTCATTACTGGACACTTAGGTTGCTTCTAATCTCTTGCTCCTGTAAACAGTGCTGCCATGAACTTCTTGTACACACCACATTCGTCTTCTGTGATTGCTTCCTTGGGAAAAACTTTTAGAACCTGTGAAACAACAGATCAGAGGATATGAACATACAGCAGTATCTCAGTTGAAGTGCTATCTCCTTATCAAACATCTTTCCTGGTTCTGCTGTTCAGAATGACTTTTTCCCTGCGTGGTGTTCCAGGAGTACTTTCCTTGTATAGAAAAATCACAGTATTGTGTTAATGGACTCAACTTGGTTCCAGTGCTTGGCTTCAAAACTAGAACTTTAAGAGCAGACTGTGAGTGCCTTTGTGTCCCCTTTACTTGGAGATAAGTAGCAGACACTTCAGCGTTAATCAAAACCAATTAAAACTGCGTTCACTTTTACAGTAAATAGGACTAACTGCAGAACCAAGCAGAACTCCGTACACCCATCTTTAGGTGCTTCTGAAATTATGTGGTTGAATGAGTTAATAAATGAGAAAAGGTGTTTTAAAAATCCCCACCCAACTCAGCAAATGAATGGGCCAAAGTAGATGATTGATTTTGTCAGTTTTGTTTTTCCTGTTAATCACTGGAGCCCTCACATCCCTTACTGGGATAAGTCCAGTGGCTTGATCTTGAAATGGCCTGTCACCCAGGGGCTTGCTTCTGTATAAAAGACTGGTGAACACATTCCTGCTGCTGTTCCATCACACCACGTGGTGCCACTGTTGAAGACGGTCCAATAAGGTTGTGGGGGTGGTGGAGCCTGCCTACTGCTCACTTCTCCCTTCTGTGATGCCCTTGTATGCCCAGGTTCCTGCTTGGGTCACAGCAGAGTGTTAAGGGGAAAAAGAGCCCACTGTCTCCCTGTCAGGCTTGACTGAAGATGCCCTGTGCAATGCTGCCTAAAACTAACTTTCCCTGCTTCTCATGGCAAGAGAAGTTGTGGACTCAGCCATGTCCTCTCCCTCTCTCTCTGGAAGGAGGCCACTTTTGAGGTGAGACAGATTTTCAAGGATGTTAAAAACACAAATGATCTTGTGCTTTTAGGACAGTGGGGCTGTCAGAGGGGCTGTCATTTGTCATTGACAACTATTTCAGCAAGAGGCTTTATGGCATGCTCTGCCTTTGCATAACTGATAGGAGCCATTTCAGGTGTCTTAATAGGAGCAGAAGATTGGCTAGGTGGACTGTAGCGCCTAGCTTGGACTTTAACAGAAGCTGCTAACTTGTTAAGATGCCCATTATTGGCTGTTTATAGTTATAGTCTTGCTATTCTCTGTTAATTGTGAAATAAAACCATATATATCTACCTGTGTCTATGTGTATCCTTATATGTATAGAGGATTTGTTAACATTTTATAAAATATACCATTGAAGGAATATTAAAGGCCCACAGTGTTACTGGATCTGTGGAAATAAAATGCATGCATATGCCTGGGGTGTATCTGAAATATCCCTTATTCCACATTTTTTTTTTGGTGGGGGGGGATGTGGTACTGGGGATTGAATCCAAGGGTGCCCTACCACTGAGCTGAACTTCAGTCCTTAGAAACAAAAAGGCTGGCCTTGAACTTGCAATCTTCTTGCCTGGGTTTCTTGAGTATCTGGGATTAAGGTGTATGTCTCTGCATCCAGCTGTTCCACAAATATTAAGAACTTTTCCGTCTGGGAATTCTGAAATGAGCCAGTGCCCTCATGGAATACAATCTAATGCCTAGTTTTTTGTTTTTGTTTGCTGGAGCTTGAACCTAGGGCCTTACACATTCTAGGCAAGCACTCTACCACTGAGTTGCACCCGCACCTGCTTCTTAGTTTAAAAATCTTTTTAAGGGGCCAGGGCTGAGGTTCAGGGGTACAGACAGCACTTGCCTAACATGTGTGAGACACTGGGTTCAATCTCCAGCACCACATGAAACTAAAGGTATTTAAAACCTTTTTAAAAATCAGGTAAGTTGTTTTCTAGCTTTTTCTTAAAACAGCCTGAACCATGCAAAACAAATTGTTCATTTCTATGTAATCCTTGACCTAAAAGATGTGCACCTGAGTAGAAATTAAGAGATAAGACTGGAATATGACTGGGGAAGAGCTTGTTTATTTTGCTTATCTGAAGTGAGATAAAAGAATATCTCCAAATGGGCCAGTTTCCAACTTGGACCATGTACACAAAGCACCTCATTCCAGGGCAAAGAGAGCGAGTAAATCAAATAGAGAAGTATTTTGTTCATGTTTATTTTTCCTACAAGTGTGATGTAAAACTTTTAAAATGTGCAGAAACAAGCAACAGCCGCCACGTGCAAAAGTAGCTGTTTTTGCAAATAAAAATGCTTCCCAGAAGCATGACAAATGCAAGACTAACAGGTGTCCCGCAGTTCCAACGAGACACGTGGTTCTCATTAGCCGTCTCCCTCCTGTTTTACATCTAGGTCTTCCGGTAACAACGAAAAAAGTCATTTCTCCCGAGGCCACGAGTAATCCCCACCGAGCCTGCCTTTCGCCCTTCTGCTAACAGCAGTTCCAACAGCTCTCGGAGGGGAGGCGGCAGATAGAGCCTGCACTAAGGGGAGGAGGCTGGGAAGCCCTTAGACTTGACTTCAGCCGTCGTGGGTCTGACCTAAGGCTCCGGGTGACCTTGACCTGGTCCTCGATTTCCTCCTATTAAATGTTTGGTTCGGAGAATAAGGGTTTCGGCTTTCCACGTCTCCTCGTCAAGCAGGATGCTTGAATGGTCTTGAAAACCAGGGATTCTCCACGGGGCGGCCGTTCTGCCCTTCACCCTCCGGGTCGTCGGCAATGGCTGAAGAACCCGGGGCTGGGGAGCTCCGGGGTCGGCGGGTAGATACCAGGGATGGCGCCTGTCTACGACAGAACACTCCTGCCCGAGCGACCCGGGCGCTGGCGCTGAGACCGCCCGCCGACGGGTGTGCTCCGCGGGCTCTTGGGCGTCTCAGCTGGGATGACAGCTCCCGCCAGAGCTTCCTCCTCTACTCGCGGCCCGGGGGCGCGTGGGCACGCAGATCCCGCTCCGCGCCCGTTCCCCTGGAGACCTAGAGGCGACCGCGCCGGCTGAGATCCTCCGATGACCCCTCAGCGAGCAGAATCAGTGCGGACGCCGAGTCCCCTCGGTCCCAGGAACCCCGGGCTCGGAAAATTTGGTAGCTTCTCTCTTGCACGATTCTCGCCCCGCAACTCACTCACCAAGAAGGTTCGCTCTCGCGAGGGGGAATTTTCCTCCCCACGTACCTCAGGCGGCCTTCTGGAGGGTCTGGGTTTAAGGGCTCCGCGAGCGCGTTTGCGTCGGAAAGCTCCGCCCACCTAGCCCAGACAGGGGTGGGGCCTCCTCGCAGTGGCCGTTGTCCCGCCCAACCGCCTCCCAACGGCTCCCTTGACCGGGCGGCGGGGCGGGGCGGCGCGGCTGGGCCAATGCGCCTGCGCGCGCGTGCGCGGAAGAGAGGGGCGTGGCTCGTGTGCGGCCCCGCCCAGGCCTGGCGTCTCCGCCCGCCCTATCTCCCAACTTCCTCAGCGTGGCGCCGACGCTGCGTGCGGCGCGGGTTACCCAGAGTGCTCCGCGCGGGGGCAGCTCACTGGAGTTTGGTTCTCGAGGCGGCGGCAGCGGCGGCGGCGGCTCCGGCGGCTCCTCCTCCTCCTTCGGTGGCGGCGGCGGCCCGGGCCCGACCCCCGGCCCCGGCTCCCCTCTCCGCCACCCCGCGCGCCCCCACCTACCCCGGCGCCGCGGGGAACATGCGGCTCCGCTCCCGGAGGCCGGAGAGTGAGTGACCCCCGTCCCCCGCCTCAGCCCGCCCGCCCGCTGGCCCGGCCGCTCCCCCCCGCCTCGCCCAGGCAATGACAGCGGCTCCGGCGTCTCCGCAGCAGATCAGGGACCGGCTGCTGCAGGCCATCGACTCCCAGAGCAACGTAAGTACCCACCGCGCAAGCCGGGACGGAGGCCGCGTGGGCCCGGGACCCTCCCCCTCCCCGTGCCCCTCGCCCGTAGGGCTTCAGGGGACTCGCCTTGAGCCCCTCTCCCTCCGAAAGGCGCTGCCATCCCGGTCTCTCGCTCCCCAGGCCCGGGCCCAGGGCAAGTCGGGTAACCCGGCGGCTCTCGGTACGTGAGGCCGTGGCTTCCGTGCGGCCTCAGCGAAGGGGGCAGATAAAGACTGAGGCCAGAGCTTTTCCTTTCCTTCTGCTTCAGCTCTACGACCCTGGTTGCTCTTGACGGAGCTCACCTGCCTTGCCCTACCCCCGGGACCCGAGACCCCCGGGAAGCCTTCCCGGCGGGGGGGAGGGGAGGAAGGAAGACTGCGAAGCAACTGGTGTCCGGGGTATGACTCGGGGAGCCTGTGCCTCCCGTGTCTCGGCTTTCTGGGTGATCAGGGAAGTCCTTTTTCTCTTTTCCCGACTAGAAGCACCTTCTTGACTTCGGAGGGAACACCCGCCAGCTCTGCCCCTAGCTGGGCGCCCAGGGCCCCTTGAGAGAGACCTCCTTCTCCGTTCTGGGACTAGACATACCTTTGCCAAATCCCTCTTGAGGTCACTACCTAAGAAAGATGATTCTGGGGCGGGTGGGATCCTTCCTGTTGTCTTTCTGGGCCTGAGTGCTCATTGCGTCCCTGACCAAGCCAGAGGTTGGCTTTTTGGTGGTGAATTAGAGATGATTGTTCTCTCTCCCATTCACCCAAGAACTCTGCTTCCATCGTTTCTTACCCCAACTTGGGGTCTTAGCCTGGTGGTTTGTGGACCCCTTCAGGGTTAACTCCAGGGGGTCACTTTCTCAGGTGCCCCATTGCTAAGGCTACTGTTTATAGAAGTACCTCTCCCTCTTCCTTCCAATAGTGCAGGGAAAAACTTAGCATGTTTTCATACCTTCTCCAAGGTTTTGTTGGCAATAGGTGCCATTTTTTCCCTGTGGCAGGAGCAGGGCAATAGGAAGATGCAGTGGTATCCAGGCATTTACTTGGAGACCAGGAAGTGGCCATTGAGATCACTTTTTAACATGCTGGAGATGGAAGAAAAAATTGTCTTGGGTCTTGCCAGGTAACTCAGGTTTCTCTCAGTAGATGAGCTTTTGCTTTTCCTTTACTTGAGTTTGCTGATTATTCTTAGCAGTGTGCTTTACTCTGGTGTTTTTGGAATAATTCACTTTGATTTGTTCAGTCTTGGTAGAAATTGAAGGGTTATGATCTTTGTAAGGTCGTGGTTGCTGTATCTTAGTAATTCTCTTATTCCTCGTCTTCAGGCCCCATTAAGATTGACTTGATGGTAATTGTCTTAACAAATGTTACAGACATTTTTGTTATGACTTTGGGGGTGGAGTAGGCACAGGCTATATAAAACCTTCTGGAAGGTCCTTTTTGCAGTAACTGGTGCTGCTGCAGTTCTAAGATTGAAATATTAAGGGATGAAACAAGTGACGTGGGAAAGGACTTGGTGACTTTTGCTGCTTTCTTGGAGCCAGCAGTGTGATTTCTTGAATTTCATGTGCTTGCTACCTTTTTTGAGACTGTGAGACCTGAAACATCAGCATTGACCCTTAATGCCAACTAGGAGAGCCTTGGGATCTGAAGATACTTTGACATGCAGTCATGATGTTGTAGATTAGGTGAAGCAGTGACCTCAGGGATTTCAGTGTTGTGTAAGACTCTAACCTAAAGGGTCCCTAGAGTTGGAAAGGGAGAGGAGGAGGAGGAAACAAACCTTAATTTCCTGTGTCTTTGCATGGACAAAAATGTTAAATTCGTATAGATCCATGGATATGTCTCGTGGTATGGAATTCCCATGTCATATGGCTTAATTGGGGGGACTCTAATGATAAGTGTGGGTCAGACTCTACTAACCTAAGGGTGGTAGATGGAAATGGGAAATTGTTTCTTTGTGAGCAGTGAGAAAAGTACCTCCTTTAAATGCTGCCATTGTAGGACCATCTGTGAAGATAGTTAAGTGCCATTTGACAGGAGCATGACTTTGAGTGAAGAGTAGGAGGTCAGAGAGTTTGGATTGTCCACGGTTGTTGGCGGAGGAGACCCAAGAGCCCAGAGTGTCTTTCTCTGCAGTTTCTCTTGGATTTCTTTAGGCTCAGTGAGAAAAGAGTGCTAGCACACAGTTCTCTTCTCGGCCTTGCCCACTTATGAACTCCAGCACAGGGTAATTGACACATATTTAAAATGTTCACGGAGAAAAGGAAGAAGGGAAAAAAAAAAAAAAAAAACGGGGACAGTGTTGAAGAGCCAACACTAAAATTAAATCTCTTCTGAGAGAAGCAACAGAGAATTGTGTCATGTAATGCTTACCTTTATGGGCATGCATTTATGGTTAACAAACCTAGCTGTTGCTTGAAAAATCAGTGTTGGGCCACTAATATCCACAAGTATCTGAAAAGTTAAGTACAGAAAATAATGTCACTTACTGACCATCTCCTTGCTGAAGGAGTCTCAGGAAGAAGCTGCTTTTTTGTTCTAAATTTTATTCTCTGGAGTATTTGAATTTCTATAGCAGTTGACTCAGAGTTTGTCATTTTTGCCCATTCTCTAATACAGTAAGTCCTCCACTCTCCTTTCCAAAAGGCATCTAAGAGTTTTTCAGAATAATTGGAGCCTTACGTTTAGCTGTGTGTGTTAATCCAGGGTGTTGAAAATCTCTCTGAAGAGCGATGTGCTTTTACTTGTTCCCCTGAATTTTTGTGCATTGTGGGTGAAGTTGAGTAGTGTGTCTAACTTTTGCACAGAAATGACAGCCCCCCATGAAGTCTCTTTGGCAGGTAATTAGGTTCCCATTTGTATCAGATGCTCATTATTTCATAAAAATCCAGGCCTTGTCTTCCTGATAGAATGCAGATTCCTTAGAGATGTTTCTTTTCTTGTCTTCTTCCAGAGTGGAAGCATTAGGCTTGTGTTCTGCATTGCTAGTTCAACTGACTGAACACTAGGAGCCTTCTTGGCCCTAATACTAGGAGCTATATCTGAGTCTCCATTTTCCCCAAAAGTCCTGGTGACTGCTATGTGTCCTGAAGTCTACTTGTGGAATATTCTAATGCAGAACTTGGGGAGAATGAAAGACTCACAGGTGACTGGAAATCTCTGTAAAACTGGGCAACATAGATGTCATGTTATGGTTGAAAGACAGCTTTTCAAGGAATGGCTGGACAGAGACAGTGGAGGGTATACTGCATACCCTTGAAAAGCTAAGAAAGCACAGGGCAGGGCTTGCTAGATGCAGGTGTGTGTCTCTCTGTTTAGAGCAGTGAGAGACCAGAGAAGGTTCTGCTGAGAAGAGGGACTTGTACAGCTTTTGATATCAATGTTGTTGCTTCCCTACTGTCAGGCTCTGGAGCAGGAAATCTCAGAAGCTCCTTTATTCCTCATAGCCTGCAGGGATCAGTATCTAAAAGGAGGTAAGCAAGGGGCTCTGCAAAGACTTGCAAGAAGGGTCATTTTCCTACCTAGGAATCTGAAGGTTAAGACATTGCTTGTCTCAGTTGCCCTGCGGGTTCTTTGTCTGCAGAGTAGGACTGGGAGCTGGTGTACTTATTCCAGACCCAGGATCAGATTCTGGAAGTGGTAGCAGAGGCTGGCTTGAATCATTCTAGAGGTTTTTTTGTTTGTTTTAAATAACTGTATAAGGTGTATTGTGTGAACTTTCTCAAATCACAGATTTCCAAACAGAAGTGGACACTTTACATTAATTTGTATGGCATCTTAGCAAGAGTGTTCTGCTTCCTCCCAACAGTCCTACAAAGGGAGATGGAGTAAAACCAGTCTCCCCCCTTGGCAAGTGTGGAAGCCAACATTATAGTAATATTAGGGGCCATTCAATGAGTGTCTCCCATGACCACAAGAGAACAAGTTGCTGTTGTTTCTTAACGTCAGGTAACTGGCTCAAAACGAGGTGACCAACTCAAAGTTAGGGACTTACCCAGAATTATTAAATAACAATGTTTGTGACCCTAAACACTATCATGCTGCTGTTGAGAGATGGAAAAAAGAAGAGACATGGTGGGTGGGGGGCAGCATTCTGAGCTGGTAAGAAAAGTGGAGAGGCAGTACATTTTCATAGTGGCCCTGATAGGGTGCTAGTGCCTTTCGAGCACCCTTTCCACTGTGCTCCTTTTCACTGTGAGGGCACACGTGTTGATCTAATGTAGTGATTTCTTGGGCTGGGTGTATTTCCTGAGTAAGGAAGACCTATATGAGATTAGAACTTGGATTAGATTTACCTGTGATCTAGAAGGATGAGGATACTAGGTGACCTATCTTTTGAGCATCTTTAAGGTCTTTGTCATAGAGTGTCCCGAGTGGTATCATGGTGACCAATGTGAAATTTTTCATGAGTCTTGGGTTCTTGCTTTACTTTCTGCTTCAGGATGATAGCACTTTTGCCAGGTGCAGGGGTACTTACCTGTAATCCCAGTGGCTCAATAGGCAGAGGCAGGACGATCACAAGTTCAAAGCCAGCCTTAGCAACTTACACCCTAAGCAATACCCTATATAAAATATAAAAAAGGGCTGGGGATATGGCTCAATGATAAAGTGCCCCTGGGTTCAATCCTTATACCACCAAAAAAAAAAAAAAAAAGAAGAAGAAGAAGAAGAAGAATAGCACTTTTAAATTAATTCCTTTCTTTGTTCCTGGTACTGGGGATTAAACCCAGCAGTGCTTTTACCACTGAGCTACATTCCCTTTTAATTTTTTATTTTGAAACAGGATCTTACTAAGTTGCCCTGGCTGGTCTTGAACTTGGAATCCACCTGCTTTACCTTCCCCAGTTTTGCTGGTATTACAGGGGTATATCACCATATCACCATGTCCGGCAATAGCTTTTTTTTTTTTTTTTTTTTTTTTGGTATCAAGGATTGAACACAGGGGTACTTAACCACTGAGCCACATCCCCAGCATCCCCCACCCATCCAGACACCTTTTTT